AGAGCTGTAACACTAACTCTATATTTCAATCTGTTCGGACTAAGAGAAAGACAGCAATCCTTTACCTGCTTCTCTTCTTTCAAAATTCATCCTTCATTGAGAGTGACACAGTTCTGTAGAAATGCTTTTAGCCAGAGGTGGGTTCCTACCGGTTCAGATCAGTTTGGCCGAACCAATAGTGGTTTGGCGGCCTGTGTAGCTGGGACTGACAGCAACCCAGGCCTGCCATGCCCCCAAACCAGTTCTGTGGGGCCACCCTCATAATTTTTGGTCTGCGCATCTGCAGAACAATTGTAATTGCACAAATTTAATTTTATTTCTTTTCTTAATGTTTTGTGCATGTGCAGACCTATTTTTGTGCAAGTGTGAACTGAAGCGTGCACACACACAAAAATTTTTGCATGCACCAAACCTGCAGTAATGCCGGGAGCAACCCACCCCTGCTTTTAGCCCTCCACAATATGCAATGAAATATACCAAAGTTCTCAAAAAAGGATTGTAAAAGTCATAACTTCCTGGAAGGTTGTAAATAACTCAGAGTCATAATTTCACTTGCATTTTAAAAAAATCTTGCTTTTCTTTATAGCAGTATTATTAATGAGTACTATTCATTTAAAACAAATTCTCATTCCATTATAAATGCAGTATTTTCTAGCAGAAACAAGATTCCTATTAAATCTTATACAGCTAGATATCCATCAAACTAGGAGAGATTTTCATTTGCTGTTATCTATATATAGTTAACATGTGAAATGATACACTTACAGAAAGTGAATCTTCTCCAACTTGGCTGCTAGCCAAAGCCATTATATTGGGAGAATAAAACCGCTCGTACATCGATGCTCCTTGGCATGTATCAATGATAAATAGCAATTCATTGTACCTAGAAAGGGGAAAAAAAGAATCTTTATGCCTGTTTATGCCAGCTGGCCTCTAAGCCTTCCACAATAATCAAGCACAACAAAATGTCCAGATAAAAAGTAAAGCCCTTACTAGTATATAAGAGATAAGTCATATCTTCTTTTATCTATCAGCTGTGGTCACTTCATCCAGCCTTGTAAACAAAATGCTACTTTAAAATAAAATCTTCCTGGAGATTTGACCTCCAGGATTTTTGCCATTAACAGACAATAATTTACCTTTATAAACTATCCAGTTTTATCACCACTGCATAGAAAAGAAGTACTGGTGATTAAATACACAATCCAAGGTGTGTTTTATTCAAAAGTAAAATCCTGAAATCTTACACTAACCATGTCAATATAAACTTATTTAAATCCTGTGTAGGCTTCCTTTTGCAAAGGATCTGTCTGATCACTCAGAACCAAAATAACAAAGATTTTCGATTACTACTTCCTTTATTAACTATTATGCAAGATTACATATACTTTTTGATTTATAGAGATCTGCATATTATTTTGCTAGATCTTCAATGATGTTTCAATTTTAAAAGGGGGGACAATTTGAAAAGAAAAACCCTGTTTTTATCTTGCTACAGTTGGGTTCATGAAACCAATATAAACTTACTCTTACAACCCTGGATAGGTTTGCTGAAATCTCTCATATTTGTAAGTTGAGTTGCATAGCAAAGTACCTCTTTCAATATATTTGAATAGCCCTGATATCTAAGATTTAACTCTTATAGCAGTGATGGCGAACCTTTTCAGCACCAAGTGCCCAAACTGGAATGAGCACCAGAAACCCGAAGAGCAGCTGGCGACAGCGCACATGCCCACAGAGAGGGCTTTGCATGCCACCTCTGGCAAGTGTGCCATAGGTTCGCCATCACATCCTTATATCTTGGATGCCAGGTGGTATTTTAAAGATCAGTGATGCAAATGACTCAATAGATCAAACCAGCCAATCAAAAACAAGCACCAGCTTTGACAGACATTTCCGGACAGAGGACATTGCAAGGGCCCAGTCGGTTCATAACTTGCCTTGTATAGAGGACCTTAATGCTTAGCTGTACAATCTGCTAGAGGTACATTATCCATAATATCATAAAAGGTAAAAATGTGAAGTGTTAATGCAGATGGTGTCAGTGCTGTTAATTGTAAGGGAGAATAACTGACCAATTAAGACTTGCTGTAACAGTATATGATTAAAACCTATGGTTGCAAATAAATGTACTAAATGAAATGAAAATTGAAAATACATTCTGGGTAGATCAGAAAAGGCAGAAAAATGCAGGCACACTAGAAAGCAGGGGTTAGAAATTACCTCCTTTTCTGCCACATTTGTTCAAAGGCATCAGCGAGTTCCACATTCGTGATTTCTTCTGAATCTTGAAATTTCAAGAAACCATTCCCACCATGACCTTGGCGAAGAAAAAAAAAAAGTCAGGATATTCTCAAAAATATTCTCTGAAACCTTCAAACAAAACAGTTGGCATCCAACTATAATAATGCATAAATATGCTCTCACCCACCAAGGCAAGCAAAGGGTAAGCAATTGCTTTGTCCTTTGGAACTCAGCCTGAGCAAGCTGAGAAGCCCAATCAATTCACATTTAACATTTAAGAAGTCTGTATTACCCACATCCCTCCAAACCTCCCCTGAGTCACTGCAACTACTAATTTATATGCAGCCACACATCTTCAATTCTCTTTTAGATCTGGATTTCCAGAATAATAATATATACTGTAGTAACAAGCTATGTTAGAACAATTCCTATAGCCCTTGAGCATAGTGTTTAATCCATATTTACACATGTGCTGGGCTACATTTTTTAAAAAGTATGATTTGCTGAATAAACCACTGACTTGCAACATGCACAAAGGATCTCAGTATCCCTTTGGCCATGCAGATCCCAGGAGTGCATAGGAATAAATTTTTAAATGAGGGTGGGATGGGGGGGACTGATGTGTTGCTTTTTCCTTGTGTAGATACATAATATGCAATTGAAGACCAATTATTGCGCTGACTGTATTTTAAAATCCTAGTTTTACCCAATACACATCGATGACTGATTGCAATAGAAGTATTTTAATGTGATAACAAAGAATGATGGAAACAGTTACTAAGGCTATGTTTCTGATTGTGCATGAATCATTGCCTATAATGAATATTAATAAAGACAGGGCTCGTATTAGGCTTTTCTACAGAAGACAAGTATGAGATAAAGTCCCTCTGGGATTTCTACAGTTCTCACTGGGCCCTTATTTAAACAAGCCTTATCTAAACCTGGCTATTTCTAGGGTCAGAGTGATGATGGCTCCTTTGAGGGATATCCTTGTCTTTTGAGTAACTATTGGATTTTTTTCAGACTTTCTCCTTTTATTATATAACTAGCCAATAACCCAGGGCTACCCGGATATTTATTTATAGGGGGAAAATATCCAGACCAAACATAATTTCTAATATTGGATTTTCCCCCTTACCAGAGGGAGCCGTGAAGCCGTTACCACGACAACTCCACTGCGCTGCACAGTAGAAGCCATTTTACAGCAGTACAATAGAATCCATTTTAAGGCACAACAGGCTGTATCTTAACAGAACACATACCCCGAGCGGTTTTAGGGGTGTCTTACCCCCACAGTGTTTTTTCCAGAGTTATGATGGAACATACACACACAGAGCCATATATATTAAGTATCTGTGACTTAACCCTTACCCTAACATTGGTAAGCTATAAATCAAGAATTAGGATAGTATGTGGATCTGTCCACGGTGTGATGCGTCAATTAGCAACATAATTACATTGGCCTTTTTCAAACTGATGCAAATGGCTATTTTAGATGGTTATGAAGTGTTTGAATGTTTATTGACCACTGCTGAGGATTCTGAGAACTAAGTCCAACCCATACAATCAAACTAAGTTACTCCACACATACAATCAAACAAACAAATTTCCAAGACAGCTTACTCTAGATATCTGAGACTCTTAAAAGCTGAACCCAGT